AGCGGGACACAGCCCCGATTGGCTTTAGTTCACACCGGAGATACTCCGGAGGGGCACAGCGGGGCACAGCGGGACACATCGGAGCACAGAGGGACACATCGGGGCACAGCGGGACAAAGAGGGACGCAGTGGGACGCCGCGGGACGCTGCGGGACGTAGTGGGCCATTTTCCGGTCAAACGTAGCACATAAAAGCATTATCCAATTGTAGCTATGGTATTGTTAGGAGGTTTTTACTGCTGTTGCTGGAAAGATTCGTGCAAAATATAACAGCTAAGGCTGTGTCCTTCAAAGACAATGATCTGAACACGCCTAATGTAATTCCAGTCGTGTCTTTTGTTACCAATATTTTCCTTAAGTCGAGTCATTACAACAGAGTCGATACTCAGTTTCAATCTAGTGTTGTTTTGTGTTATAATGAATTTAGTTCAAGAAATTTCGTTCTCTCAATAAAAATGCAACTTGAGTCGTGAGTACTCATTCGATACGTTCATGAGAGCTACTAAAAGCAATATTGCTCGTTGACACATTTGGACAGATCCATCTGATTCTTAAGAAACCACAGGCTATTTATTTGTTTGAATGTGATAGGCATTTCAAAACTCGTCAAATAGCGAAGGTATTCTCTTGGAGGACGTCGCGCCCAATTGAAAGACTCAGCCTTGTTGAAAGTTAGTTTAACGGTACGGCGGAAAATGAAAGTACGATTTGACCTTCACTGCGATTTGCATTCACCATCGGCCTTTGCCGCCGATCTGTAACGGACATACCATAAAAATTCTATAAAAAAATATAAATCAACTTCCTAATGAAAAACTAGAGGATAAAATAGAATTTATTTTCTACTGATACGTCAATTGCTTGTCAATGCCTTCGATACGGACACATTACATCGACATCCCTGCACAACTTCCCTCGATCGAAAGGACCGTGGTTACGAGAGAAATATGAAAACAGTTGAATGATGCTGCATGTTCTCTTGTGGAGAGCATTACCAGAGGGAATCATGAAAGGGAATTATGGTAGGGAAATATGAAAAGAGAAACCGAGTCAAGTTAACATTTAGTTATAGTAATTAGTTAATGAATGAATTTCAATTAATAAAATAAGGTAAAAAAATAAAATTATATATGTACCACGGGCGTTAAATGGTTGTAATGTTTGAGTGGCGACAAAATGCCTGAGAGCCTTTGACCTGAGGGCTTTTAGTCGCCGCTCGATCATTAGTACCTGTATAACGCCCTTGGTGCGTAAATAACTGTTAACATTTAGTCAGACGTTATTGCTCGTTACTGCCTTTGATAAGGAACTCGATATACACTCCATAACTTACTTAAATCCAGAGGATTGTGATTACTAAAGAAAAATGGAAAGACTAGCATAATCAAGTTAACATCTAGTTAATTAGTAAATTAGTCAATCTGAATTATTAATATTAAGCAAGCATAAAAAATTGTATGTACTACGGGCGTAATTCGTTTTAATGATCTCTGGAGACAAGAAGCCCTCTGGCGAGAGGATTAACCTTAATAGAAGAAGAGGCCATTTTCAATTAAAAAAATACGAGGAAGAAGAAGTTCAAGGAAAAAAGAAAACAGAGGAATGCGGAGGGGGGTGCTCACCAGTGAGCTTAGCCTTGCCGGCAACGCCTGCGTTGTTAATGAGGATGTCGACTCCGCCGGCGTTGTCCTTGACCCACTTGAAGGCGTTGATGATGTCGTCCTCTTTGCTGACGTCGCACTTGAGGCAGTGCAGCTTGCCCTGCTCCGGGGCACGGCTGG